ATCGCCTTGATCTTTTCGGGATCAGGGCGTACGCCATGTTTACCCATGATGCACCCAAAAAGTGGTATTTCGCTAGCCGCGAATATACACTTCTTGAGGTTGGCGTACAACTTGTGCTTGCGCATAAGTTGAAGAACCTGACGAACGTGAGTTCTGTGAACTTCAACGTCCGTCTTTCCGTCCATAGCCCGGCTATGGACGAACACATCGTCGAAGTAACTCGGTGCGAAGTCTCGCACCGGTCTCAACAGATTTGTGACACATCTGTTAGAATGTAGCAGGGGCATTGCTCAGCCCCTGTGGTATCACTAGCCACTCCCACAACATACCGCTGGGGGTGCTCAATGCTGTGTACGGGATGTCCCGTTCACGCATGATGATCTGATAGAATCCATCCATCAGATCCATGGACGAAAAGATGGTACTCAATGACATACCATCTATGATGACGTCCTTTCTCGGTATCGGCGTCTGAGCCGGTACCGTTGCAGCATTCAACTTGTTAAATGCGTGCACTATCCGCCATCCTCCTGTGGCCTTTCGCACACAGAAGGTCGGAGAGCTGTGAGGGGATGTTGATTCCCTCACATGGCCCGCTGCTAAGCGATCGGCAAAGAACTTGTCGATCGCTTGTACTTGTTCAAGAGGCAGTGGCCACTGCTTCATGACACAGTATTTCGAGCCCGTTCTGAGCTCGATCTCGTGCCTAGCGCCTTTGTCCTTAGGCAACTCGCGCGGTACGGATTCAGGGAACACATCCCTGAATTCGATCAAATCCTTATACAAAGGATTTGCCTGAAGTGACTCCCAGGATTGGGACGCGTATCGCTCAATCCGAGTCTTCTCATCGAGGACACTTTCGTCCATCGATGAGCTGCTGAGAACCCGTTCGTTCTCAGCAAATACTGTTGCCGACCGAATATCGGCCACATACTCATCCTCTGTGACGAGTATGCAGATCTGCTTGACTTTGCCACTACGCAGATCACGCAAGAACCGTTTTGGTTCTAGCGTTGGCAACTGAGTTATCTCCGAAGTTAACTTCTAGGCACAATCATATGAAGTGTATAAGCGCCTACACTTGATCCGTCATTAATCAAGACGTTCAACGTCTCGGTTACTTCCTGGAAACTTGCTTCCACAGGTTGCTGAAGGCCTAATCCCTCAGCAAGCGACTCTTGAGGAATTCCTTCCTCAAGTACGTGGGGACTTATTCCCTCGACGTCTTCCGACTGTGGCTGTGCAACCACAGTCAGGCACCGATCCTCTACGGTCGACTCTCCAGTCGACCTAGGATTTTCATGTTGCCCTTTGGGGGCAACAGGTTTCTTTCTTCTAAGATGATGCCCGCTAGGCATGCATCCATGTCCCGGTACACTCGACTTATTCGAGTGGTGGACCTTCGGCGCAGCCTGTACTTCTGTACAGCCGCCGGGAGCTTGCTCCACAGTGTAGTGATCAACTACACTGTGATCTTGTGCAGTCGTGCTAACGACCGTACCGCAAGTGAGGCCATCGCACTCACTCGCAGAACATCCACACGCTTGTGGACGCTCCAAGATGTTCATCAGATGGCCATCTGATGAACAAGTGGCAGGCATCTTCACGGATCGATGCTGCCAGCTCACCCTTGGCTCGTACTTTCTGAGCCAAGGTAATCCCAGGATGACATCAAATTTGTCATCCAGATCCAGTACGATGAAGTCATCATCGTACTGTTCGCCTTCTAACGTGTAGTGAATTACTACTACACGTTTCTCAACGGTAATCGATGCGCCTGTTGCAAGGCGCACCGTCATCCTTGTGAGGGGAATGTCGCGCTCAACGAACTTGAGCCTACGACCCTCTAGTGACTGGCGACGAACAAAGTTGTTCGACGCCCCACAGTCTACCAGGGCACGAAGCGACAAATCATTTGTCGCTTCCAGCTTCAAGGTGATGAGCGAAACGTCATCACCAGGTGCAGAGACACACAATGATTGTGTATCTGGAGCAACTTTCGTCAAGAGATTTGCAAATTCTCTTGAGGTTGCTGGATCCGTAGGGCGCTCCGCACCTACTGACCCCGACCATTTTTTGATGGTCCGTCTCGCTGTTGCGGCTTCGCAACAGCGCTGGACCCACGCCCATTGCCCTTTCTGGCGAATGGTCGTCCATTTCGCTCAGTACTGTTTGGTACTGGGCGTGGAGCACTACACTCGTATGCGTAGTGCCCTAGCTTCTGACAGCGATTGCACCTCTGCAATCGCTTGTTGTTTGTAGAGCGAGGTCTCTCGCTCTCAACATAGCAGAGGTCCATTGGTTCTGGACCTCCGATCTCTTGTCGTCTCGGTGGACGGTATGAGTTTGAGTTAGCATGAGCCTGTCTTATGCTAAAGTCTTCCTGTTCCGCGGCTGATATCGCTTCTTCAAGCGTATTCAGCTCAAGGCGGAACAGGTGGCTCCTGACGGGCCCTTCTGCGAGCCCTTGCATGAACACCGTAATCAACATGTGTTAATGTACTGGGTTGGCAGTTATACTACTCGCTAGGAGTCGTATATGTTGTGCGTAAGCGTGCACATCACGCTTACCCTGCTTGAGTTTCAGGAGCTCAGAACGAGCCCTGAACTCAGCACGTGGCGGCTCAAACGTTTGTCTGAGCCGGGACTTGAAGTCATCTAGCGACCTAAACACATTTGGGTCGCTACTCTCGAGTCCCAGGGACCAAGTTTTGGCACGCCCTGCCAAGTGGGTCTGAGCAAATGTGAGTTTCATTTGCTCATCTTCGACGCGACGAGCCCTTAGGGCTCTGTCGAGTTCGACAAACCATAGTAACAGGGAGTCCTCCGGGACTCCACTGTACTTGGAGGTGTCAACCTTCATGACCTCGGGACGACGCGCATGCGCCGTCCCGCCCACAGCAGCATGGAATTGCTGCTGTCTCAACAGCTCCGTCTGTTGAGCACCGAGTTCTCTCAACTGCTCGGCCTGTTGAGAGCCTTGCTGGTGAAGCAAGGCTACTTTCTCTTTTCGGCGACAAGTTCATTCTGAATGAACTTGGCGATAGCGGCATGTTGTTGGTCTCTGTCTAGAGACTCCAACATGGTGCTGACGACGAGTTCGCCTACGGTAGAACTCATTCGTTCTACCGCACCCCATTCGATGTCACTCAAATGGGTAAACCCTTCACGCGTGGCGTGAAAGGTCTCTTCATCATCCAACATGTTCATGTTGGATGATGTGGTCCTTGGAAGGACTACAAAGTGCTACCAGGTGTAACGGGGCACACCCTTGCGTAACTTAACGCAAGGGTATCGGTGCCCCGACAGACGTACACAAGGCAAGCGAGGAAGCGTAAGTAAGGTAAAAGCAGAACTGTTATATTAATATAATTAAGTCTTTTAACTACTGTCTCTTTGTTTGACTTAATTCAATTATACTAATATAACTGCATGTATGGTGACGTCTCGTCACCACTCATTGCGCGCGTCTTGCGGCGATTGGTGGGCTGATATCATCACGATATCAACCAATGAACAGACCCTTTGGTCGACCCTTCAACATCACCACTTTGGTGATATTGTTTTAAAGAATATCCATCTTTATATTCTTTATTGTCACTTTCCTTAAAGTGACAATTTCATGTAACGGGCTGCCCCGTTACACATATCGGATGTTTACTATAAAAGACCGAAGGTGCTCGTGTCTGGTATAGAATATGAAAATTTTAAATTTTGTTTGTGATGATTTACTTTGTAAAAGGTTTTTAACAGATATCAAAAAAAGGCATTTTAGGCAATTGTTTGGAGGTGTCGTCTTTGGTCTCCATTGATCATACTAGTTTACAACATAAAGGTCATTGATACGCCGGCACCTATGCCACGTGATACATGAACCACGCGACGCGAGCATAATTCTTCTGTAAAATGTCCTACAGGTAGAGCCACGTATATGGGGATGGTTGGCATCTTGATATAGCAGTACATTGTATCTCGTGTTTGATGTGGACCAAGTGGACACAGCTGCTACGCTTATGTACATTACGTCATCTACTATAGGTAACAATTTTGAACGCTGTTACCAAACCGCAGTCACAGCACCGGCATCACTCATACCATCAGAAGCCTCCAGATGGTGACGACCACATTATTCCACCAGTATGATGTGTTTCATAAACGTGCGATCTTTCTCATGTATTCGCACACGTACGCGTGACCACCTACTATTGCATCGCAGCACTATCGTCGAATCTCCACAATCTTGTCGACTCTTGATAATGCTTGTACATCCTTCTTATCATGCTGTCTCGGGTCGTACCTCAAACATCGTGCACAGCATTATGTACCACCATTATGACGCGGCACTGTCTTATCGCAATCACTGACAGGATCCCGCCAAGACGACAACTACACATCACTAGAATGGTAACATATTCGATACGGGCAAAAGAAGCGGAGTCCACGTGGGCTTACACTCGAAAGACGTATAATATTGTTAGGCTACGCTTGAAACGACGTCGTGGGCATCTCAATCGAACGACGTGTAATATTGTTGGGCTACGCTGGAAGCGTCGCCGCATTCGTTCCTTTGTTGAATACGACGGTTATGTATTCGTATGAGAAGGTTTATGAACCAATACTGAAAGAGGGAATGAAGGAGACAGGCGTGGATGTGATTGTATGCTCTCAGGCATGTGCGATTCAGGCGTACAAAGTACATCACGTGTTCATTATAAATTTCGTCCACTAAAAGCATCATTTGTCCCTCATCTTGGGGTGTATTTTTCGTTTTCCGATGAGTCGATACTCTTTTTCGACATTTTCAAGTGGATTTATATTCCCTGTAACACTCATAGTGTTGTTTTACGCGCGTGTGTACTTGAGCGACGAAATTTACGTCATTGCTCATAAAATCGCGTTTCGTAGTGAAAACGAACGAAACACCTGCTTCTACCGCAGTAAAAGCGCTAAATCAGCTCGCGCACGGCAGCCTCAGCGACGAAAACCACACCACGTATCCCATGCACGGCCTCCCGCGCCCCGACGAGTCTGCAGGCCCGCACGCCATTGCAACGTCTGCGTATTCCAGCGCGAGTGCCCTGCGGTCCCCGACAGTGGCAGTAGTGGGCGCGGGATTTCTCGGTCGATGCATTGCCATCGACCTGTCGCTCCTCGGTGTGCAAGTGCTCGTGTGCGACTCGAAGGCGCAGTCGAGGGATGGGGTGCGTCTCCGTTGTTGCGCGCCCGAACGAGCAGGAAACGGCACGGGGAGGAACGTCACTATATGACGCTGTGTTGTGCCTTTGTCTCAGCTGTCGTCGTTCGCGTACGATCTGCTGCACCCGCTGCTGTATCTCGGCTACGTGACCAAGAGCATGGTGACCGAGGCGTGCAGTAACGTCACCGTGGTGTCGCATGTGGCCGAGTGCGCCGAGGCGTCACTGGTTATCGAAGCGGTACGTGGTCGATGTGGGTGTACTGTATCGGAGGGGGGGGGGTCGATGAAACAATAAGACTACTGAATCGTACCTCGAATTCTCTCTCTCTCTCTCTCTCTGGAATGGATCACGTATCGTGGATGGATGTAGATCCCCGAGAATTTGGAAGCTAAGGTGGAGCTGTTCAAGTCCCTCGAGCAGCACTGCTCGGCGTCCACGATCTTGGCGTCCAGCACGATCAACCTCTCGATCGACGCTATCCAGTACGCTGCGTACAGTCGGACTTGACACTACTGTTGCGGCTGATGGGGTCTGCTGTGGCTGTCTTCGTGGTGAACTTAGGATGCAGCTGCAGCATCCGGATCGGTTTCTAGGCGTGCGGTTTTTCTACCCGTGTGTGCTCGTGTCCCCCGTGGAGCTCACCACTGGCACGACGACTTCGCAGCATACGATCGACCGCGTCGTGACTTTTCTACAGCGTCTTGAGAAACACCCGCATCGAGGCCCGACGAAGCGCGTCTTGACCACGAACGAGGTCAGCTCTTTCCAGTTTGATACGGCTGTGCGCGGGAGCTTTTACCACGGACTGCTCGAGCCGAAGCGTCAGGTGGCCGTGGCTGACATCATCACGCCGCGCCCGGGCCCGCCGCTCTATGGATACCATCGCACCGCGAACGACACAACAACGGCTCTCTAGAAGAGCGAACGTGCATGTTCACTTCAACATCATCAACACCAGTTTGCTGTCCTTCTTGCAAGCGTGACGTCCCTCTCTTTTTTTGAGTGGCCACGGACAGCTCACGTGCTATTTAGACGGCTGACCCGTCATGTCTTTGTACCATGAGGCGCTCGATCCGCTCAGAGGGCGCTGTGCCGTGGCGGCTGTCGCGCTTCCAGCGGGCTCTTGTCTCCTCCACACTGTTGCCACATGTGCCGTGTCGCTCCCTTCTGCTTGTAGCGCGTGTTTCGCGTCCCAAGTCCCCCTCTCGCGTTGCACAGGCTGTCGGGTCGCTCGCTACTGCTCTCGTCGGTGTCAACAACTGGACTGGCCTCAACACCGCGGCGAGTGTCCAGCCTGGCGCTCGATTCCAGCCGCCCGTGCTTCAGCCACAGTTCTGCTCGTAACGCGCCTGTGTTTCAAGCTCTTTCAAAGCCCTGCGGTCCGTGACAAAGAAGAGCGCAATGCAGTGCTGAAGCTATGCCATCACCTGGACGACCATTCAGCAACGAAACGTCGAGTGTTTGACGACATGACGCAGTTGGTGCTGCTGCTCTTGGCACGATACAGAGCGACTGCAACGCAGCAGAGTCCAAGTTTCGAGACGCTTGAGAGCGATCTCAAGACGGAGATCCCGCAACTGTTTGGCCGCGTCAATTGCAACGCCTTCTCGATCGCAAACGGCGTGACAAATGAAGTGCTGGGCATTGGACTGTTCCCGAAAGGCGCGTTGTTGAATCACGACTGCGACCCGAACAGTATCGTGAGCTTCAAGGGACACGAGATGGTCGTGCACGTGGTGAAAGACGTTGCAGTGGGCCAAGAGCTGACAGTCTCGTATGTGGAGCTGCTGCAGTCAACGCAGGCGAGACGACGCGAGCTGAAGGAGTCGTACTTCTTCGACTGTCAGTGTGCACGGTGTCAAGCTGCACTCGCGGAGGAAAAAGAAGGGGAGGCAAAGGACGACTGGTACTTGGATGGACTCGTGTGCAACCGCAGGAATGGCGAGACATGCGGAGGTGTTGTCGTGCTGGAAAAGGCAATGGATCGTATCGATGGCACTGCGGTCTGTAGAGTGTGCGGTACTGCGCGAGATCAACAAGAGATCGATCGATGGGAGAAGCGTCTAAAGGGCTTTGATGAAGCGCTCACTGTTGACTCAAAGCAGGAGGCCAAGTGGGAGGTGTACCAGCAAAAGTGGGAAATACTGACGCAGCAGCTCCAGCTGCATCCACGAAATGCTCGCGTGGCTGCAATGGCTCGCGAAATCGGCAACTTTCTGGTTGAAACGACGTCTTCTGACTTACAGCGTCTGGCATTGTCCTTCTTTCTAGCAGAGCTCCGTGCAGTCGAGTGGTTGCTGCCGGAGACGAAACTTCCGTCACGAGGCCTCCTGCACTATCACATTGGTAAACTGATGTTTGAGGAGGTCAAGTCGTCGCTTTGTGCGCCGTCGCGTGTGGATGCAGCTGAGCGACTTGAAAGCGTTGCAAAGCACCTGCACGAGGCCCTATCTACGTAAGCTACGCTCGGATGCGTTGGTTCTTGGGATAGCTGACTTACTGACGTGATATACTGTGCGACGCACTGTTCTCGTAGATTGGACTGCGCGTACGGAAGCGGTAGTGCTGCCGTTCAAGCAGCGCAGGTGCTGCTCGATGAGGTCCAACGCTCAGCTCGTCAGCTTCTCTAGCGCTGTACTGCTAGAACGGGTCCGGTGCGGACCAACGCATGGACTGTAACTTGCTCGGACGTGTGCTGATTGATGTTAGTCGGCGAGTCAGCGGCGTTCACTGCTCAATGTTCATCGCTCGCAGCCTATTTTCGTACGCTGTAGGAATGCATCGTCAGCAGCAACACGCGGACTCTTCTACGATTCTGTCAGCCATTCATTCTTGTGACGGGGGATGTTGATGTAGGTGCAGCTGACCCCAATGATGGCAAGCACGTGCCCATCGTGACCATTAACAGCTCGGTCTTTATTGTGACAGTATACTGAGGTCGCGGGTCGATATGCTCTGAGCACAGAGTCGAAGCGACCGTAGCCACAGTCCTTGTCAGTCGTGTCAACTGCAACTGTTTGCTGTTCGAAGCGATGCTGCTGGCTTCCTACGCTCCGAGAACAGTCTTGTGTACTGACCTGATCATATCTGCATGAGTGGACAACCACAAGCTGCCGGACGAGCTTTCGAAGACGAATATGTGCAGTACCCTTCCCCATCACTCGCCGATGACTTGACGTGCCTACACAGCAGAGATTGCTTGCATTCAATATCCTGCGGGGGTTGTTCCGTCATGCATTCGTAGTGGTACGCGGTCAGGAAGGGATAGAACTGAACGGTGGGGTGACAAATTGACCGCAGCATTGCGGTCGCACTGCGTCGGTGTGCAGAAACAGACTTTTATCCTGACTGACGCAAGCACACTGAAAGGTATTGCCGACCGCGGTACTAAACGTCCGTCATTGCATCAAGACGTGAGCCGCACCTTTTCATCAGTCAATTCAAGCAAATTGGCAGGTGTAAGTGTTCGGATTCTAGCATCAAAATGGTGGCCAGACTTATTGCCAGGATGATAGAGTAGATGTCTGACAGTCAAAATGCAGCCGTAGTGGAAGAGTGTCTATGCTTCGCTATTGCTAGCGCATTGGCGGCAGTTGGGCAGGTTAACTACACTGTCGTTGGATCTCTGTACTCTGGTGCAGAAATGCTCGAGGATGTTTAGCCCATACATGACCGTCTCCGTCAACATCTGTGACCTTTATCATGCGTTGCACCCGATCTCAAGGTCTGTGACTTCCGTCGGCTGACCATTTTGTTACCACCATCATAGATCCCATTCGGCTCACGCCCATGTTACTTCGTTCTTGACGATCTTTGTTGCTGCGGGTCTGTCGCCCAAGTATACTCACCTGGTGCACTTGCTTGCAAAACGGCGCTATGTGGATCGAGTTAAGGTCGTTAGTGTGAGCACATTCGACTAGAAATACTTTGTGGGTTCAGTGCGTTTCTGCGAGCCTCTGGTAGATAGATCACTCCTTTGGCCTTCCTAGTCTGTACTACACCGAAAAGTATAGCTGTGTGTGATGGCGTAACTGGGAAGGCCACAACATGTCAGATGGTACTCATACAAATTCAGCAGTGTTACTCAGGCTGATCCATGTACAAGCACCGGATATTCGTCAACGCAAGAACGCAGTCCAGGCAGGACCGCAATGATGGCTCTTAATGTGGACTGTAGTCATTAGCGTTCAATAAAACTCACTAGGGTGAACATTGCTTGCCGCGGAGAGGGACATCACGTTGTATCAGAACTGCATGCTCTCCATCGTTTCTACCCTGCGACCGCCGCGTGGCTTCTGCGGTTACGTACAAGTGCCTGTTGCAGCCACTCTTGCCGATCGCATCGATGTCGTCGTCTCCACCATGCGGAATCCAGCGCGAGGCAAAGCCACCAGTCGTCATTACCACGGTTGTGACCAGCAACAGCGCTGCGAGGTGAGGCGGAGGACCCATCAGATAACCATTGACGAACTGAGCTGCGATAGCAGCAATACGGTTGGAGCAATTCACCATGGAGATGCCAGTCGTACGAAGCTCCTGCGGAAAGTTTTCCGCCGACAAAACGCTAAACTGAAGCACACGCACATATAGAGATAACGCATGTGAGATGCAGGACATTCATCTAACGCATCTATCAGGCGTACCCCATTCCACGCTGCAGTAGTACATGCGTTAAAAAGACACGAGACGAGCACGATGACAGTCTTGGATCCTTCCACATTGAAGGCAAACAACAGGGCACAGAAGCCGGACGTGAAGAGCGCACCAGATAGCAGGCGCTGGTGACCAATAACATCGATCAGGTACAGACTGCAGTAGTATTACGATTCAGAAACAAAGGCATGTTAGCATTCGAACATAACGCCACTCATTCACGTCGTGCTTACCTGAACACATTGCCCGGAAAGTTGGCCCCGGCGAACAAAAACGCATTCTGGAACGGGTTGGCAAAACCAGCGCTTTTGAGCATCTTTGCAATCCAGGTTGACATGCCATACGATCCAAAGCTCAGGGAGAACCCACACAACATCAATAGCAGTGTAGGTCCCACATTCGACGGCTCAAGCAGACGCGCTACAACGCGGAGACCGTCCCGAGTGCAAGCAACATGACGCGAACTCGTGATATCAGCCGCTTCTATGGCCTCCTCTGCCGACATGTGAAAGCCACCTTCCGTCTTCTGTGCCATCTGGTTAGTCTCGCCGCCACGGATGGCCTCACTACTTGCAAACTCAATTTGGATATGCCGTCTGCTTTTGTTAACTCCGTGGATGTACTGCAACACAGACGTTGCTCCCTGTGCATCGCCTTTACTCGCCAAGAAGTGCGGACTCTCCGGAATGTACCGGTACGTCAACACAAAGCATATCAGCGATGGCAGTCCAACTACCGCGGCAAACCAGCGCCACGAAAGAGGCACAATCCGTTCGCCATCAGCATACGTTCCCAGCATGACCCAAGCTGTGCCTGCTGTCAGCACAGCCCCCACCATCCAGAACGAGCACAAAGCTGTGATGGAGCGTCCTCGCGCTGATACTGGTGCATGCTCCAGACACAGTGCAAAGAGTGAAGCCACGACCCCACCCACACCGATGCCAGCCAAAGCTCGAAACAAGATGAGCCAATAGACGCTGGTCGAGAGCGCCGACAGGAAAGCTGCGACGGCATTGATAGCTAAAGTGGTTAGCAGCACCGGTTTGCGACCGTATAGATCGCCAGCGACTCCGCCTAGTAACCCTCCGCCAACCATTCCGGCAAACACTGCAGCGGTGAGGAGACCTACAGGTTAGCGATCATGTAAAGAATCGGCAGTCGACGGTGATGTGTACCCATGTCATGAACAACATCAACAAGAGCATTCGAACGTACTGGACTCCCAAGGGGTCAGTGCCCCTTCTGCCTCTTCGTAGACCATCAAAATGTAGCCAATTGCCAGAATCTCAACTGCATCGGCCACATTGCCACACCCTAAAATGCTGCACGTCCACAATAATGGTCGGTCCAACCACGTCGACAATAATGGTCAGTCCAATTATTGCCAGATACCATTCCATTCCCAGTCGGTCAATTCATTGGCCGTACGCTACAACGCGATACTGATGCAATCCGCAGCCAATGCGCTCCATCTCGTCATGCACCGCTTTCTTCAGTGCTGCAATGTCGTCGACGATCACCACATTCTCGTCGGGGAGCTCCCACGTGCATACCCGCGCAGCCATATGTGTGTGCCTGCTCGACTCAGATATCTGATTATTCGCCCGAGTGGGCTGCGAACATTCTCTGATTCATGCTCTGTTTCTTTTTGTCCAATCATCAAACGATCCGCTGGTACGCTCCCTCCCATTCGCGCACAAAGAAGTGTGGTCGGCACAATCAGAGCACGGCCGCGCGCTCCGCAGTGGCCTCGTGCTGTCGACACCTCACCTCGTGACCGTCGGCTTCGTCATCGTTCGACTCCGCCACTTTCTCCTCTCTCTGTGCCGCTGCGTTTGGTGGTCTACATCGATCTGTAGCCCAAGTTGTAGTGGAAAGATGATGCACGCATGGCGTTCACTATCCCGCAGCCTCTTGGTGTTCACAAATGTGCTATTTCTACTGCTAGGCTCGGTGCTGGTGTCCATTGGAGGTCTGGATCGCTGTCTGCACTATATGGCCATGGTGTTCCTGGCTTGATATCGTTCAGAATGACGTCAGGGCGGTCGTGGGTACTTACTAACCATACGTCTTTTGTCTGTATTCTTGTGTCTGTAGCTTACATGGCCTCCTTACCAGCACTGACGGAGTTTTCAGATGGCGGCGTCGCTTCGTCTGTCATCATGTGTGGCTCGCTGATTATTCTGATTGCGCTACTGGGCTGCTGTGGGGCCCAATGGGAGAGCAAAGTGTTTTTGTTTCCGTACGCAATTCTAGTGCTCGTGTCAGTAATCGCACAGCTGTCGCTTGCAGGATTCCTTACGCATGTGCACAGCTCATTGGTTGAAGTGGCCAAACACAACTTTGACTTGTCGGTGCTGGCCCCAGCCGACCAGAAAACGTTACGCTGGATCAACAAGCGGTTCAAGTTCGTGTATTATGGCTGCGGCCTCGATGTGGATATTGACCTCAGTGGCAAACACAGTCGCTCGCTCATTACGTCGTGCTCGAACCCGAAGTTTGCCTGGTTTGCACCTTTTGTGGAGGAGAACTGCCCGATTGGACACGAACAGCTGCATCCTGGAAGCAATTTTCTGAAGTGTGCAGGACCAAGCTTCTCGCTGAACAACGCCATGACGGAGCATACGATGCTTTGTGCATGTGAGACGCGTATGATCTCGTGGGTCAACGACCAGTCGGTGCTCGTGGCCGTCTTTGTGTTTGTTATTGTGGCGCTGGAGATCCTGCTTGTGGCGCTGTCGTGCTACATTATCCACTCGCGTCGTTACCGCCGTTATGGCTACCAGGAGATCACTATGCCCGTGCGACAGCAGCCGTACAACCCGCACCCGCGAAACTACTTTGGCCAGCAGGCAGGACAGCGCCAACCGCTCAACTCTCAGCCAGCATACTCATCGTACGGGCCGGCAAAGGGAGAAAATCCTTACGCGGCTGCCGCCTCGGGTAGAAAGAACAATAAGACTGGCTGCTAGTAGGGTACGGCTGCCTCGTTGGACTAGGTTTGAACTCAGGTCAAGTGCATAGATGGTTGCTAGTGCCACCTTCAAGACGCCATAGGAAAGGGTCGATGACAAGGATATACCCATTTGCACAAGAGCGAGGCTTGGGTGTTGTTCCGTTCGTGTAAAAGGATGATGCCACTGGCCAATCTGTGAAGTGTAGTTGCTCCCGATTTGCACTCGTTCTTGACGTCTGACTTGCATAACGCTGCAGATTGATTGTGATAGCCATTTCTTGCTGCTTGGTATAGTGCCGTGAATAACCACTTCTTTCGATTATCCTGCTTTCTCATTCTGGATGCGGTGACGGTTGATAAGCAGTGTTGTCGGCATCAAGGTCGGTGGGTCAACGTGCTGAGCGAGCCACATGTTCGAGGAACCACAGAAGTAGATCGGCAGTTAGTTGCTAACATGGGCTTTCTGCCGAGGCTAATGAAGTACTATGGGGCTTGCCTGATTATGCGCTGCTGACGTTGTGCGTCCCGATAGCACGTTCATCAGTGAGAGAAGGTACGAATGGAAGCACGTCTGAATGCTGTCTCAATAACAGACTACCTCGACACTTGTTCGGATCGACATATCTCTGAGCTGGGCCTCCGTTTGCATTACGCACAAGTCAAAGAAAGGTCTATGTATTTCTTATGCGACAGTATAAGAATCGAGCCTCTTATCGACTGCAAAAGTGCATAACTTCGAGGCGCACAGTGTTGATAGACATACAATTCAGTCGTACATACGTTACCGTGAGACTTGGTGAATGTGTCTAGCGGATTCTCCCTTGTGATTCGCGAAGGCTATCGCGTATGTTAATGTCTTGCGTCGAATCCATGTCGTCATTGCCGCCTCAAGTCCGGCCCGAAGCACGATTATTGACATTGTTACAAGCCAAATGCTAGAAATGCTTCACTGGACGTCGCATGAAAGTCAGACTCGAGTCCGAGATTTGATCAACCAGAACTTTGTTGTAGGCAAAATCGGTAGCTAAAACAAGCGATGCAGCGTGATAGATCGAGGTAAATGAAGCTAGACGCTACAACCTTAAGACGCCTTGAGTATACGCTGTACTAAGAGGCATTACAGACCATTGTGTAATTTCCCATGGAAAAGGCATATGAAAGCAACCAGACGAGGAAATGTCGGATTACATGCTACTGCAAACGAAAGCGTCAACCACACTTTCCAAGATTCGTAGCGTCCAGGACTGGTCATAAGAAAGGTCTTTTAAGCGTAACGATTGCCAATGATATCAGCCCAGTATGTCATGACGCTCGCTTTACTGCATACGAGCGGAAGCTATGTCCAGACCAACAGAGCAGGAATGCGTGCGTATATTGATCTCTACGACAATTACAAGAGCAACAAGCAGCACGTACGCAAGGTGCAACACTTCTGGATCTCACTAGTCGTACGGTCGGTAGTTCACCACAAATTTGCCTGCCGAATGACGTGTGATCCACCAGAAGGCACTACAAAGGCTGAACTGAGCTACTCATTACCGATTACGACGAATGGATTACTATCATTCTGGGAGTGTACACACCAGTGAGAGTCTTCACGTTGCCGACGACGAGAAGTGTGCATGTGTTTGGTTAACGGATAATATCAAAAAAGCAGTATGACGCTGCGCTCTACTTATAATTGCACATTTGAAAGCATTCATGTCGCCGTATTCGACGTGGTAGCATACATTATATAAAGTTGGATTCAACCAGATACTGCGCGCATGAATGCCGTCCATCGTGCTAGCAGCTGACTTCTTGCAATCTTTTGCGGATGGGTTGCAATAGCATGTGCGAGGGCGGCTGCAACGTGGTAGTGCAATAATGAACGGACCTGATCAATGTGCTAGTGTTGGAATGATGTGCGTGGTAACAACGACGCCGCCGGGATTTGCGGGTGCTGCAGATAGAGCTAACAAGTGCGGATCACCAGCTTTTACTAGACATACCTCCTGTCGTTTGTGTGCACTAATCATGTCCTTGTCCTTTGATCAAAGTGACCATGTCTCTACCTTTTGTTTACACTGCGTAAGATGTCGACATATCAATGACTTGGTGAGTCTAGGGATTGAGATGCTGTGGCATGGTCGTGAAAGCTGGACCTGTGCAAAGATCCTTACTGAATCAAAACAGGTTTCGTGCTCCTTATCGTGCAAGAAAATGCAAGTGCGAGATGGGGTGCTTCACGGCGGTCAGATTGTTTTCGCTAACCTGGGTCAACCAAGCGCGCCTCAACATAGCGAACGATGGTCAATTTTTGTTATTATCGCTTGTCTTAAACTTTGTCGTCAGGAACAAACTCTTCGTTTGCCACCAAGTTCCAGGTCGTATGTTAGCAATGGATGTATGGACTCACACACATCGATGAAGAAGCCATCGGAGACGCGATACGAGGGTGCAAGCTCTGATAGCCATCGCGTCATCGCATTTCAAGTTTTTACCGCACTTCTAGGGGAGGCTTGGCCTCGAAAGAACGACTGTATCAGTGTCAACCTCTAGCTCTTTCCTACCGCAGAATCTGAGAGGAATATCTCACAAACACTACAATGATTTGTCAGGCACTTCTCAAAATTGTTGTGCCACTTCGGGTCTAGTCGCTACGCGGGCACGCTCATATTCTGCATTTTCCCAGGTATTATTCGACAAAGGACGTTTTCAGCGACTCTTTTCATGAATTTGTTGGATGGTTGCTGATGACCCATATGGCCGTGACATCGGTCCACGATCCGTTATGACAACATACACGCAGCGAGGGGTTGTGAGAGCTTCCACGTTGACAGTCGTATCGGCACTGTATCGAAATTGGTGTCGGCTGGTCGAATCAAAACAAATGCGTACACTCGCTTGCTTTCCTTCTACGTAGGTTGCTCGAGTTTGCTTTGGCTCTGCTTGGACTGTTGATGTACGCGATGTGCCAAGCGCAAAGCGCGGACAAAGGAATAAGTGAAGGGTTTGGCGGAACTCGTGGTGGCGTAAAGTGAAGTCAGGCGATATTTGTACCGATTATGGAAGTTGGCATAATGAAGCGACTGGTCCTTTTTTCAGGCATGGATGAGAAGTGTAGTAGCTTCAAAAGTGCCAGGACGGGGAAACCCGAGCACGATAGCCAACGCATAGGTGTGTCAGTGAGGAAACGTTGCGGACTGCCGACCGAATAGATAGCGCGGAATATGGCCATTTGCCATTGCTGTATGCATCCCCCACACCTTCGATCATCTAAGCGCTCGAAGCACGAGTATGACAAAGTCTTCTCGCATCAGTAGCTCGTAGAGGAATCGAGTTGATCACGTTCATAGAGAAGCGAAACACAACGCCTTGTAATAGGCTGGCGTAGAAAGGGTGGCCATGAAGCACTTCGCGTTGGGCTGGGGGGCGGTGTTTGGTGCAGATCTTGGCGGTAGTGATTTGCTGTCGGCACCGACTGCCTCGGAAAAGAAGAGGATGACGATTCTGGTGAGTAAGGCCGCGGACTTATCTGACTGCAAGTTTTGACATGCATTCCGTAGCAAAGCTCAGCTCAGCTCGACGATCACTACGCGATTTAGCAACTCATAGACCACATTTTACCACGGCGATGAGTGGTCGAATAAATCAGTGGCCACGACGATGCCAAAAAGGGACACCACCGCCGTCAAATACATGAGACACGTTGGCTACGTTTTCAGCTCTGCATAAGCGAGTGGCACGTTGGAATGATAGCCTGTTCACTTCAGTGCACCCGTGAGCTAGCTGTTTCGCATCGCACCATAATCGGTCTTGATGCATGAAGCAGAAAGATCGGGTGTGCGAATCTACTTGCGTCGCACTCCGCGATACCGCTGTAAATGGTGCGTGTCCAGTACGACGATCGGTGGTAGTGACCAAATCAATATACTTGGCACGTGTCGCACTCAGCGTGCTTATGCGATGACAAAGACTGGATATTGGTGCTTGGAGCAATGGACACTACGAGCAAAGACTGAGGATGCGCGTTTTCCGCACGCGGAAAAAGGACGTTCAGGAAGAGCAGGTAACAACTGAGACTGCATCTCTGATGATGATGCGAGTGGCTGCATGAGAAAGTGAGGCTGATGTGTGGCTTGCGGTGATCCGGTTGCTTCGCTAGGCATTTTTTTCTTGATCAACGCACAGTGAATAATGACGATCATCAGGCAAGTATATTTGATGCTGATGGATTCGCTTCTGACGTCCAGTTACTTCGTTTCCTTACGAAGCTGTACGCATCAAATACACTGTGCTGTGGCTGATCGATGTGTACGTGGGCTCTTGCATTGGAAGGCTTCTGCCAAATCAGCGCGTCGACTGAGTCTCGCTACTTGTGCCCGATAGCAAGAAGCTGCAAATGTGGAAACAGGGTTTGCGACGAGTATTTCGTCAGACTTCGACCTGTGTTCTTGGAGGCCAAGACTGGATTAGCAGACATGCAGAACGCAAATTCACCATCTCTCCGCTACACACACCAGACGGTGATATCCGAATCGAGACTATGCATGTTTCTCGATCTTTTGTTTCGCACATCAAACCGGACTATTGTAAACTGGCGTGTGTATCACCTTGGTGTCGGAATCGGGCGTCTACAGTCGGCAGACGATCCAGGTTTGGCGTCCGAAAAACAGGTCAGACACTGACCAAAACCTCGTCGCTACGCTCGTATCAGAAGCTGCGGCTTCCAGTCATCGGGTATAATCAGATGGACTCAGCCGGCGCGCTGATTTAGCCGAAACTTTTCTGCCACCTACCAGCCGAATGCTTTGCACCTATGAACCAGCAGCCATGACTGCTCCAGACTTAGCTTTGCTTTGTTCATACACCACAGTAGGAAGCGGCAGAAAGGTGAAGCTCGTCGAACGATCGACGCGCTCGACACGTTCGACCGTGGCCGGGCGTGGTACTCTGTCCAGCTTGAAATATTAATCTTTGAACATGTACTGGGCTGTGAACGACGAGCGAAATGCAGTCTGGTCCTCACCATCA